GTACTGTGCACAAGAGCCTCGGCTCTCCCGGGTCTCTCCTCAATGACTGAGACAAAGCAGCGGGAGCCATTGGCTTCTGTTGCTGTCAATCACAGCCAATGAGGAGGGAGCAGAGCCTAGCCGTACTTTGTATGTCTTATGGACATACAGGGCCAGCTGGGGGAGCGCACACGCACGAGAGTCCCCAGAGGAAGCAGCTTGTTCTGGGGGCACTTGGCAGGGGCCAGGAGAACGGTGGGGGAACAAAGAAGAGGAGGATCAGGGATGCTCTTTGCAGAACCACTGCACACAGCAGGCAAGTATAACATGTTTGTTATTTTAATTTAAAAAAAGGGGGATTTTTTACCCTCCCCTTCTCAAAATGCAAACAAAAATGGCTTTATATTTTTAATTTAAACATGTACACTGTAGGCTTCATTTACCAAAGCGAAGGGAAATTTCAATATATAGGACTGCCTCCTGTCTGACCAAAACAAAGCGAAACACTCATGAGAATCATGGGAACTCATCAGTCATAACTTGAGTTTCAGGGCTGCTCAGCCAAGAAAAGGAAAAAACCTCTAAATTTGCACTGCCAGAGGCCATCTTTCTGCCTTGGAACTTCTGCTGAGAGATCTATTGGCTGCCATGGATGGCTTTTACTTCTAAAAATGTTAGCTGCTTGTCCTGCTGATCCATTAAGTGCAGCACTTTCTGATATCCCGAACATGGAATATACAGTACATGTATGCATAGTAAGTATTCTAACCCTTACCCAACACGCGTGTTCCAGGTCAGTTACAAAGGAAGTGTTGAAGCCAAACGCATACAGGCAACTAGCATTGCGGCCTACACTTCTCTCAGTTCATGTTTCCATTAATACCGAGTAAATATAAACCAGAAGAAAGGAAATACTTTGGATGCCACCCACCAGTAGTCATGAATTAGGTCTACTTTAGTCTAGGGGTGCAAAACAGAGAATAACTTCTAGAATGACTCCCCCTGTTGGTGCTGAAATGGATAACAAGTCCCCAGAAGGCACCCCTTTTCTCCTATTCTCCCCATAGTGTGGCTCCATCCTTGCCATCATCATACAATAATGCAGAACTAGAGGCACTGCTGGTCCTGCACTGACCGTGGGGACATCATGAGGCCGTCAAAGGTCCCATTCTACCGGTCTTGTGATTCCATATCCTGGCTGAAAGATGAACTGGAAAGTGTGCTGGGAATCCCAATGCCTCAGCTTAAGGCCATATTAATGGGGAGCTGCTGGAGGGGAGTAACATTCTAGGAGAGCCAGAGAGGATGGTCCCCTATATGACCAAAAAGCGCATCTGACCACCTTAATTGGGGTCAAAAGGTCTGGTGAGTGAGCAACGTGGTAAAAATATAAAGTCACTTTTTTGGGTCACAGCATACAGGGAATAGAAAGGACTGTCACTTCTTTCAAAACCTAAATTCACTTTTGGACTTTTATGGTTTTGTGTTTTTTTGCAAAGTTAGTGGAAATTATAGCATCCACTATAGGTGCAATATATAGAATACTCACTGTGGAACCCAAGGGGTTAATCCTCTGCACTGTGTAAAAAGGCCGTTTGATCCTGACTTCTCTGCTCTTCCTCTTGTTCAAATGTCCACATCCTATCACCTGATAAGGCAGACTGAACCGTAGCCATTCTGCACATGCTCAGTTTAATGTGTAGTGCTGGGGGGGGGGGGGTTTCTTTTTCTTGGGAGAGTGCATGTGATCAGCACAGGACTTATCAGCACTGTCCAGACACAGAGCTCAGGGGGTTTTCAGCCTTCTAGAGCAGAAAGAAAACTCCTCCAACAAGCTTTAACCAGTGCTTTGCTGGACACTGCTAGAAGTCACAAGACTGCTGTAACTGCTGATGAGAAAAGGTATTTAGCAGTTTTATATTTGCCAGAATAATTGCACTTCTATGCGGTGTTTACTGTGGGAGACCAGATATAGTGAATGCGGGGTCCGGGGAGACCGGATATAGTGAACGCGGGCTCCGGGGAGAGCGGATATAGTGACGCGGGGCTCCGGGGAGAGCGGACATAGTGAGTGAACGCGGGCTCCGGGGAGAGCGGACATAGTGAACGCGGGGTCCGGGGGAGAGCGGACATAGTGAAACGCGGGCTCCGGGGAGAGCGGACATAGTGAATGCGGGTCCGGGGAGAGAGCGGATATAGTGAATGCGCGGGCTCCGGGGAGAGCGGATATAGTGAACGCGGGCTCCGGGGGAGAGCGGACATAGTGAATGCGGGGCTCCGGGAGAGCGGACATAGTGAACGCGGGCTCCGGGGAGAGCGGACATAGTGAAACGCGGGGTCCGGGGAGAGCGGACATAGTGAATGCGGGGCTCCCGGGGAGAGAGCGGATATAGTGAACGCGGCTCCGGGGAGAGCGGACATAGTGAACGCGGGCTCCGGGGAGAGCGGACATAGTGAACGCGGGGCTCCGGGGAGGGAGAGCGCGACATAGTGAGAGCGGATATAGTGAACGCGGGCTCCGGGGAGAGCGGACATAGTGAATGCGGGGTCCGGGGAGAGCGGACATAGTGAATGCGGGGCTCCGGGGAGAGCGGACATAGTGAAACGGGGCTCCGGGGAGAGCGGATATAGTGAAATGCGGGCTCCGGGGAGAGCGGACATAGTGAACGCGGGCTCCGGGGAGAGCGGACATAGTGAACGCGGGCTCCGGGGAGAGCGGACATAGTGAAACGCGGGGTCGGGGGGGAGACCAGACATAGTGAACGCGGGGTCCGGGGAGAGCAGACATAGTGAACGCGGGCTCCGGGGAGAGCGGACATAGTGAACGGGGCTGGGGAGACCTATAGGGGGGAGAATTTACCCGGGGACATAGTGAATGCGCGGGCTCCGGGGGAGAGCGGACATAGTGAATGCGGGCTCCGGGGAGAGCGGACATAGTGAACGCGGGGTCCGGGGAGAGCGGACATAGTGAACGCGGGCTCCGGGGAGAGCGGACATAGTGAATGCGCGGGCTCCGGGGAGCGGACATAGTGAACGCGGGCTCCGGGGGAGCGGACATAGTGATATAGTGAACGCGGGCTCCGGGGAGAGCGGACATAGTGAACGCGGGGCTCCGGGGATACAGTGAGCGGGGTCCGGGGGGGGATCAGATATAGTGAACGCGGGGTCCGGGGAGAGCGGACGTAGTGAATGTGGGGTCCTGGGGTTTGGTAACACTTTAATGTCCAATATCACAAAAACAGAATATATAAATTCCTAAGGGCCCTTTCACACTACTCCATTGAGAAAATGCTGTAAAAATGCATAGGTATTTTTTAGGTGTGTTTTCTGGTTACCGGACTCCCAGCATGCACCTGTGAACCATGAACATGTGACTCAAAGAAACAAAAAAAAAATGCAACCGCTGTGCATTTTTTATGCAGTGTATTGATTTGGGAGGTGCGCTTTTTAAACAGAGCACCAAAAATGCGGGACTTCTAAAAATGCAGCGCAACAAACAGCGCATTGGTGTGAAGAGTTCCATAAGATTTAAAAGGGGAATTTTTTTTAGCATTTTTCTTGTGCTTTTAGCCGGGTGAAAGTGCAGCAAAAAACACATCAGTGTGAAAAGGGACCTAAAAGCCCGCTATTGCAAAACATGTCGCATTCTGATGCATGTACAAATTTAAAACCCATCTGCAGGAAAATGTCCATTTTTGCAGGAAAATGTCCATTTTTGAGATTTCTCCTACCCCTATGCAGCTCCCACTCATTTTTCTTCCATTTTCCTTTCTGTCAAAATAATTCCTCACTGAACTCCAGGGGACGTCTCCTGGCAAGCAGACATCAGCAGGTCCCTCTGTATCCGATGCATAAGGGGCCCATTCATTCCTATGGGGAGCTGCACTCAGAACTGGAGAAGTACAGCAAAGTACAGCGCTTTCCAAAGGAATCAATTGGCCCGCAGCAAGCTTGGAGGTTAGTACCAGAAAAGTGAGCTGCACTGACAGGGGGGGGGGGATATGCTTTAAATGACAACTTATACCAAAGGTACAGCTGGCCTTCAAGCTAAAGAACTGTAAAAATGATCAGCATGTCCAAAATAAAAGGGAAAAAAAGCTCAAACGTTTCTAAAACTTCATGTGTGTTCCAGAGCCAGACCATCCCCCATTATGAAGGGCACGTGGCCTGCAGGAGCTTCGCACAGGGGGCACTAACATCACGACAGGTACTTCAATCACTTGGGACATTGCTATCATCAGCACCGCAGGTTAGCCGGGGTGACCTGTGAATGGAGTGCCTGGTCTATATTGACGTCAACCTGCACAACATTGCATTTAGTGTGACCCTAATCAGCTCAGGGAGAGAAGTGAAAGTCAGAATAAAATGTAGTTTAATGTCAGAGAAGATTTGGGAAAGTGAAGGCTGTTGTCCAAGATATGCAGAACTGCAGGCAGCACGACCAGCAACAGCCTGCTAACCCACCAACTGGAGCTGTGAGGTGAATAGGACATGTGAGTGGTATATGGTAGAGTGTGCCAAGTGTACTTGGCTGAATGGTGGGGTGTCCTCTCCATACTCTGTGCTGTGTGCGGATTATTGACTGGACCATACAGTGGCTAGCAGCTATTAACACCATTGGGACTTCTGAAATTGAACAAACAGGCACACTTCTGTTAATGTCAGCATTACATAGTGAGATACAAAGTAGATTTCAGATAAATTGTCACATTTTAAAGTTTATATTGTGAAGAGATACAGGACAGCGATATGCTCTTTGCATCCGAGTTGTAAACTCTCCCCCTTCACGGATCTGGTTACGGATGTTTTCCCCATACAGCTGTATGTTCTTCTTGGACATTTCATGTATTTATATTATCGGTTACATTTGTCCCCTCCATCCCTCCAGCACTTTGTACAGCACCACCGGAGGGGACAGTATTAGAACAACTCCCGGGTGCAACGCTTCTACTAACGGAGACACATTTCCTGTGTAAATCCTGTTACAACAGATATGAATAGTGGAGTATTTTCTTCATTCTGTGATGTGAATTTTCACAAAAATCAGTTTTAAAATGTTAGTCCTTGTGGGGTTTTCAAAATTACATTTTTCATTTAGAGCACACTGAGCAAAGTGACAAGAAGGGATTGTACAGCCAATACTAATCAACGGTAAAGCCAACTAGAATGTCTCAGAACAATGCTCTTGTAATCCTTGAAGGAGAACCCATCAGCACCCAATAGAGAATACATCCAGTTATCACCCCGGCACAAGTGTGGATCTCAAGCAGCACCATACATATAAACAGTTACCTACAAAAGTCAAAATAAGCCAAGCATGACTGACGAATGTTATAAACCCGACACAACGAATGTAAACACTGCAAACTCTGGATTCCACACTAAAAAAGTGCAGGATTTCTGATTTGGCACACAATTTGCTGAAATGACCCCACATGCCAACGTCGTCACTGTGCAACAGAATATTCCAATTCAATGACATTGTGCGGACACACCCGAGTCGTGAAGACTATTAAAAAAAAAGAAAAAACCCCTCACCACTATTATTTATAAAAAGGTTTTAGTTAAGCAATATCTCTTAATGAAAACATGCGATCGAGCTTAGAAACACAGGAATAAGGGGGTTAGAGGGGGGGGGGGGTATGGCAGGGGGGGATGGTTAGAAAAGGAAGTTATATATATATATAAATAAATTATATAAGGAGAAAATATGGTTTTGATAACTATTTTAATAGAAATGTTGAAATAAATTGTAAGTGTCATGAAAAATTAATAAATATTTATAAAAAAAAAAAAAAAAAAAAAAAAAAAAAAAAAAAAAAAGCACGGGAATCGACTGCATTTGTTACAAAACCTCAAAGAACGGACTATTTATTAAGTTTCAGAAGCACCTTTGAAATCAAACATAATATCCAGCTTAGAGGTAAAGGTCTACAATCCACCCACACTGCCTACACACATACAGATCTACATGGAGCAGAAGGCACTAATAAATATATACAACAAAGTATACAAAACAGCCATCAACCCGTCTGGATGCATCTCAGAACCACCAATCTGTCGGACAACAGCTGAAAAATAATTGCATTATCTTATGTCAATACCAGAGATAAATGACCAAGAAATGCCTTCTTTTTGTGCTATAACCCCCCCCCCCCCCCCCCCCCCCCCATGTAACACTGCCACAGTGCCACAAGTAAAGAAATATTTTCATTCCTCATAGAAAGGTGTGGAATATCCGTATACAGAGGCAGTATTAAAGTCACCGATAGTTCTTAGTCAAGAGGAAAAGAAACTGAAAAGTTCACCTTCCAAAGCCTGCTCCTCCATTTCCTCCCACGTGAAGATCACCCCTTCCTTTCCGGCAGGAGCACAGCTATCCGGCCCCCCCGGACATAAATAAAGTAGAAGATGGTCTGTGCCCAACAGCCGCACACCACAGATCCAGACATCTCTGATAATTCAAGGGAGGAGCCTCTTCCTGAAGTCCAACCCAGCAGAGAAAATGAATCGAAGGGGGGGGGGGGGGTACTCCCACCCCAAAGGGGGGGGGGGGTGGTACTCCTGCCCCAAGGGGGGGGGGTGGTACTCCTGCCCCAAGGGGGGGGGGGGGGGTATTCCTGCCCCAAGGGGGGGGGGGGGGGTGGTACTCCTGCCCCAAGAGTATCTACAGTTGTTTAACAGATTGTTCTTTCCCAAAAGTAATACATTAAAGAACCCGCTTCATCTTTTCAAATGTCAAAGGCAGAAAACCTGATTGTACGCAAATGTGATCATATTGCTGTGAACATAAAGCACTGCATGGGATGTCAGCCATGTCATCAAGTAACAGACGTGTTCTCCTTCAGTCACACACACACGGTAAGTGTCCATACACGTCGGATATGGTCTGCCACGTTTGGTGTGTGTGGTATGAAGACACGCTGGGAAATCTTACAGAAGCATCGGAATCGCTTTATACAAGAATCTCCTTCCTAGCCGAGCATCTTATTGTCCATAAGAACGTATGAAGTCCTCGTTAGTCATACGACTTGTCAGGAACACAATACTAATCTGCTGCGGCACGCATGGGTATGTGCTAAACATGGAACAATCAACATACATGTCACGCTCCTAACCCCAGAAACCACTAAACAGCTCATCCCCTCCCTCATCATATCACCACTCGACTACTGCAACTCCCTCCTCACTGGCCTGCCTCACCGCTGGCTATCCCCGCTTCAGTCCATCCTGAACACGGCTGCCAGACTCATCCACCTTTCCAACCGCTCCATCTCCGCCACCCCCCTCTGCCAATCCCTCCACTGACCTCCACTCCCCCTCTGCCAATCCCTCCACTGGCCTCCACCCCCTTCTGCCAATCCCTCCACTGGCCTCCACCCCTCTGCCAATCCCTCCACTGACCTCCACCCCCCTCTGCCAATCCCTCCACTGGCCTCCACTCAGTGTCCTCCACCCCTCTCTGCCAATCCCTCCACTGGCCTCCACTCAGTGTCCTCCACCCCCCTCTGCCAATCCCTCCACTGGCCTCCATTCAGTGTCCTCCACCCCCCTCTGCCAATCCCTCCACTGGCCTCCACTCAGTGTCCTCCACCCCCCCTCTGCCAATCCCTCCACTGGCCTCCACTCAGTGTCCTCCACCCCCCTCTGCCAATCCCTCCACTGGCCTCCATTCAGTGTCCTCCACCCCCCCTCTGCCAATCCCTCCCTGGCCTCCACTCAGTGTCCTCCACCCCCCTCTGCCAATCCCTCCACTGGCTTCCGATTGCACAACGGATTCAAATTCAAAATCCTAACACTGACGTACAAAGCCGTCCACCATACTGCCCCGAACTACATCACTGAACCTAATATCCAAGTACCACCCAACAACACGCACACTCCGCTCCTCACAAAGACCTCCTTCTCTCTAGTTCCCTGGTCTCCTCCTCCCATGCCCGCCTCCAGGACTTCTCCAG